TGACACACAATCTTAACTATCACACTGGTTTTGCTTCTCTAGAGAACCCAGCCTAAGACACCGTCGAGTTGCTTCCGACTCACAGCGACCCTATAGGACAAAGGAGAACTGCCCCATAGCGTTTCCAAGGAGCAGCTGGTAGATTCAAACTACTGACCTTTTGGTTGGCAGCCAAGCTCTAAACCACTGTGCCACCACATACACACAGAAAGCTGATGTCTCCACCTTACTCTTAGATTATGAGATAACTTCCTTTCAAATAATTCAGAGAGAAAGTGTGTCTGAGAGATTGTGGCAAGTGAGCACAAAATGACTACATAAATGAAAAAAGTTAACAGTTGGTGTGTCTAAGTAAAGGGTATAATCTTTGTATTATTCTTGTAACCCTCTTGTAAATTGAAAAATCATACTTTAAAAAATTACAAAAGGAGACAAATTTGTAGTGGCAAAATTTAAAATAGTATTATTCCAAACATAATCAGAATAATTAAAGTTAATATTGTTGTTGTTATTTGCCATTGAGTTGGCCCCCAACTCATGGCAACACCATACACAATGGGATTGGACCATGTGATCCACAGGATTTGCACTGGCTAATTTTCAGAAGTAGATCACCAGGCCTTTCTTCCTAGTTTGTCTTAGTCTGGATGCTCTGCTGAAGCCTGTTCAGCATCATAGCAACACACAAGCTTCCACTGACAGAAGGGTGGTGGTTGTGTATGAGGTGCATTGGCTGAAAATTGAACCCTGGTCTCCCTCATGGAAGGCGAGAATTCTATCATTGAACTACCCCGCCTTCTTTGAATATTAACAAACCATTAATAAAGCTTTCAAATATGTTAATTTATTTGACCTCATCCTTGAAACAAGTCTAAATTGCAGATGTCTTCATTCCCATTTTAAAGATGGAGAAATCTGGAAACAGAACTACTCCAGCTATTTAATTTGACAAAGACTTTGATTTGCAGTCCTTTCTAAGGCAACTATACCACAGACTGTGAAAATTGCCTTCATTTAGGTCATGAAGGCAAATCTGTGGTTTGTCCTGTGCTCACTAACCAGCTGTCAAACTGTAAGAATTTGGGTGGTTGCAGATCAGTTAGCAGCTCTATAATTTAGAATCAATCTTCTTAGCTGTCTTGTCTCTATTTTCATAGCAGGTTATTGGTTTTCATTCCAAAGTTGTGCTAGCTCTTCCTGGCATGATCAATGATGCAGGTGCACGGTTTTAGGAAAGAAACAATAGGAAACCCTATTGGTTTATGGTGTGTTACAAAGAGAAAGGCGGAAAAAAATCAATGCTAGACAAGTAGAATTGAGAAAATCATTAGGGAAATAAATTTCATTTTCACGCTTTCAAGAATTACATCAAAGAGTACATATTTTATTTGAAAAGGAGGAGCGTTTTAGAGAGAGAAGGTTAAAAAAGGGAGGAAAGCGTAGAAGGTCATATTTTCAGGATTCTTGTTTCACTAGAATATAAGGCTTACCTTCTGAATTTCGAATTGTTTCCATTATTTAAAATTATTTGACCTAACTTTAACTCTGTATGTAAGGGCAAAACAGGTGAGAGAATAAATTTCTGTATGTTAGACCTGTTTAAAATGTTACTACATTCTATTAAGTGTAGTCTCCAAAGTTGAATGTAAGTCAGTGGCTATCCACTGAGTTCCAGGGAGAAATAATTATATTTATCCATTTATTGGATGTCTTCTATAGATATATAAACATACTAGAAACAAAGAAGTGTCTATACATAAATATACACTTATCTCTTTGTTTCTACATACATGTTAACATAGTAGTATAAAAATGCTTTGCTGTTGAGTTGATTCTGACTCATAGCAATCCTATACGACAGAACAGAACTGCCCCATAGGGTTTCCAGGGTGCAGCTGGTGGATTATAACTGCTGACCTTTTGGTTAGCAGCCATAGCTCTTAACCACTGCATTATCAGGGCTCCAATATAGTAGTATAGTAGTAATAAGTCCCTGAGTGGCACAAACAGTTAAGCACTCAACTACTAGCTGAAAGGCTGGCAGTTCAAACCTACCCAGAGATACCTCAGAAGACAGGCCTGGTGATCTGCTTCTGAAAGGTCGCAGCCTTGAAAACCCTACGGAGCAGTTCTGCTCTGCAAACATGGCATCATCATGAGTCAGAGTCGACTTAACAACCACAATGTAGTAGTACATGTACATGAATTGTGTATTAATGTAACAGTATACATACATTTATTTATTCATATAAATACATATAGATATGCTAGGGATGTTCAATCAAACATTTTTAAACAAATGGTGGGTCCACAAAGACAGTTCAGAGACTATAGCTTCAATGCTCCTAGTCAGTGTTTGCTACACAGAAAGAGGAAATATAGGTCACTGCAATTTAACTGTTAAATATGTAAGTCTTAAGTCTACCTGTTAAACATGATCTAGTGATTCATTCTTTCATTGACTAGGTGTTCATCGAGAGTCATACAGAAGCAGCAAAATGTGATGGCTAAGAGCATGGATTCTGGAACCAGACTACCTGGGATCAATTACAGGCTCTGCCACTTAGAAGCTATGTGAACTTAGGAAAATTTTTATCATCTCTAGACCACAATTTGCTCATTCGTACAATGAGATAGTAACTGTATAGTGCTGTTTTGATGATTAAAACAGTAAAAACATGTGAAACACTTAAAAAATGTGTTAAAAACACTTGTAAAAAACTTAAAACATTCTTAGCATTTAATATTTTTTTTATTGTTATTATTCACAGGATTACTCCAATACTATTTTTTGATCATCTAGAATGATCCAGGAAGTATAGTAAGCATAAGATTATGTGGCTGTCATGTGTAAGGACTTGCACTGAATTATCTGGGAAATAAAGAGATGAATCATAAAAAGACTCTGCCTTCAAGATTACTCCTTAGTATGTGAATTCATTACATATTCCTGTGTAACAAATTCACTCAAAATTCAATAGCTTCAGTAATACACATTGATTTTGTCACAGTTTCTGTGGGACAGGAATCCGGCAGCTTAGTTGAGTGTCTCTACCCTGAAGTCTCTCACAAGGCTGCAATCAAGGTATCATCTGGGGCTGAGATCTCATCAGAAGGCTTGACTCTGGAAGGATCCACTTCCCAGCTCACTCACGTAGTTGTTGGCAGCTTTCAGTTCCTCACAAACTATTGAACCAAAGGCTTCCATTCCTCACTGGATGTCGGCTGGAGGCTTTCCTTAGTCCCTTGAAGCATGAGCTTTTCTAAAGGGTAGCTCACAACATGGCAATTGGCTCCCCTCAGAGTGAGCAAGCAAGAGATCAAAGTAGAACCCACAAGAAGGAAGCCACTGTTACTTTGTAACCTAATCTTGAAAGTGACTTCCCATAACTTTTGCCATATTCTATTCATTAGCAATGAGTCACTAGGTCCAGCCCACACACAAAAAAGTGGGGATCACTGTGGACCATCTTAGCGGTTGCCTCCTACGGTATGGAAGATAAGACATAGCTAAATAGCCAAAACGTGAAGTATGTAGTGACACACGAGGAGAAGGAAAAGGTTAGCCCAAACTAGGAATTCCTGATGATGCTGAAGAGTTAACCTGAGAACAGATCTGTATGTTCTTTTGTGTTTGCCTATCTCAGTGAAGAGAATTACTGAACTCACTCTAACAATCTTTATGACTCTATTGTTGTTGCTAGGTGTCGTCCAGTCAGTTTCA